ACGAATCCTCAGAAGATTGGATGCGTGAATGCTGCACCTTCTATGCAGATGACGGTCATGCCTGCTTTGTTTTTCAGACCATGGCAGAACTTCAACAAGGCCTTCAACATTTTGGCACCGTTATTTCTGTCCTTGAACGGCTGGGCATGACCGTGAATATGAAGAAATCCGCCGTCATCTTACGATGGGGAGGCAAACAACAGAAACAAGCCAGGCAGCAATTTGTGAAAAAGAAGCTTGATCACTCAGCACTTTGTATTCCACAAGCAGACGGGGGCTCACACGAAATACCGATCAAAGAGAAGCACGAATACTTGGGAGTTCAGATGGGATACAACAATTTTCAAAGGGACACCATGAAAGCTCGGCTTCAAGCATGCAAAGTTCGTTTCAGACAAATGCAGAAGTGGTTTTCGAAAAATGGCATGCACTCGGCTCAGAAGGTGGCTCTATGGCAAACATGCATTTTCCCAATAGGAGTGTATGGACTGGATGCAACTGGAACCGATCACACCTCCATTCCCTTGTTCTCCAAGAACATGACGTCCATGCTTCGACAGGCCGCAGGAGACCGTTCCTACATGACACATACCACTCACATGGACTTCTTGACAGAGCACCAACTCCGCCACCCGGTGCTCTCCCTGAGGGAGCGGATGGCCTCTCAATTGAAGCGACATGAGGACAGACTCTCCTCACTTCAAGAGCATGACATACTCCACCTTCTTGACCTCAGCACACTTCAAAGCTCTATTCATCTCACAGACTCTTGGCTCCAGGACCTTGGAGAACTGGATCTGCAACCCAAGCTCCCCCTGGCGGAGGCAGGACTTGATTGTCCGCACTGTGGGCTGACCTTTCAACATCTATATACACTGAGAAGACACGAGTTGCATGTTCACGGCATTCTACATGCTGAGGGACCCAAGCTGGATATAGCTAGGGATGCGGTTGATGGGAAACCTACCTGTCGGCACTGTGGCGAAACTTTCATTAGCTGGCAAAACCTTCGACACCACATTCACACTCTCTCCTGCTCTGAATTTGACTCGACCAAGGCACCACCAGAAGTTCTTCAACAACACCGGCAAAAACTCCTGGAGTACTTCGACGATGGCGACCTGGCCCCTCTGGCCAATGATCGAGGACTTTGCTATTTTCTGACCCAACGGTGCATTCTTTGTGGCTTTTGGTCTTCGAGACTGCAGCAAATGTCTGCACACATGGGTCGAGATCATGGAGATGTCTATGCGCTGATGGGGGAGGTTCTGCCAAATGTGATCAGGGCCCGGACCAACTCACCATGTGAATTGTGTGGGCAGGACTTTCGATCGAAAACGCATACATGTCCTGTGAAGAAACAGCTGGGCCTTGCTTTGGCATACCGGAAACACCGTGCACAATTTCCGGCATGTCCACCACCGATCCCACAACCTCCGCAGAGGATGGATGCTCAATTTGCTTGCGCTCAATGTCCCAGGAAATTCGTGACTGCCGCAGGACTTCATCAACATCAATCCATGGAGCATGCTCACTCTACGCTGACCAGGACCTTCCTTGCTTCCAGGGATCAAGTTCCTGGGCTGACGCAATGTGCACACTGCGAGGCCTCCTTCCTTTGTCTTGCAGCACTTAGGCATCACATTGATGGAGGTCAATGTCCTGAACCACTACCGGATGCTCCATCGCTTCTTTGGCACCATCCAGTGGTCATCTCTGGGCTTCATGGGGGCACATTTGACCATTTACTTGCTTACCTGGGCTACATTTGTGGCCTTTGTGGCCATCAATCATCCAGCTCATCCTCTCTTTTGAAGCATCTCAGTTCGGCTCACTCCACATCATGGACTATGGCAACCACATATGCTGAATGGCTTCAAACCGACAGCGCTCTGAGGAACCTTGGCTGCTCCTGCCTTCGGCCTCCGACGACTCCACATGTTTGCACGGTCTTTACTCAACTAGCCCTCTTTGTCCACCATGACCTGCGCAAACTGAAGGATGCCAGCGATGAGCTCATCTTGGCACATGCACTGAAGCTGGACTTACAAGTTCTCAGCCCCACCATTGCCATGAATTTTCCACACCTGGACAGCCTTCTTGCTACGGGCGTATTTGACGAACTTCTTGGAGATGGCACACTCTGCACAGCCCTTAGTACTTGGTGCTGCTTATGTGGACGGCAGATTGACCCCAGGGACATGCTTCAACATCTTTGGAACAACCATGCCAAACATGGAAACCGTGGGGGGCTGTTTTACAAGTTTCTGTCCTTCTATCAAAAAAGGCAGCAACAGTGTTCAGTTTGCAACTGTCATCAAACCGCAGTACAGTGCCCAGTGCTCCTGCAGCTAGCCAGCCTTCTCGCCATACTTCATCATGGACATGGAGGGCAACCAGATCTCAGAGATGTGGGGGGCCCTGAACCAGTGGGTGAAGATGGAGGTGGACGAGGACAAGCAGACGGCAAAACGCCCGAGGTCTTCCATGTCGAATGGCGTGAAGGGCCAGGGAAAAGGAAAAGGAAAAAAAGGGCAGGGGAGGACCCAGAACATCAAGGACGAGTCCACACCAGATTCAAGAACACTCCTGAATGCGTTGACCCGCCTCGTCCTTCGACACGAAGACACACTTCAGTGCCTGGCCATGGAGACGGACTTCTGCGTTTTTTTGAGCGTGGGACCAGGCTCAGTTCTTCCCAGCATGATGGCCCAGACGCAGACTTGGCAGCAGACTCCAACTGCGGAAAGGACTCATCCACTCCGGATTCTGGTCCTGAAAACAATGCTGGAGGAACTGTTGAAGCGGATTCAGAAACTTCAATCCACGGCCTCCTCCGATCCCTTGATCCAGACATTGCTGCGCCTGAACTTCTTGCAGCCCGAGCCCGAGAAGGGAGAATCATTCATATTTCCACGTATGAGGTGGAATTCCCAGAAGCAGCAGATGGAGGCTCAGGAGGACACGCCCCTGACCATGGACCAAGCCACACAGACAGTGACCAGGATGCTCACCCTGCTTCAGCAAGAAGCCCTGATCAAAAGATTCGGAGCCCTACGTCCCCAACAGCAGATCCAGAAGGCCATGACCACGGACACGGAGGCACCGTCCGCCATCATTCCCTGGAGGATCACACTGGCCCTGGTTCACACCCATGCCAACGAGATGAGGGGACTCTGGCACCAACTCAGTCACTCAGGACTCTGGCAACTAGTGCTTGGACGGATGCGCCCGGCCAGTTCTCATCGCACACCTCTTGCCCAACAAGTAGGCAAGATGCTGGAACACCTGTGATGGCATCAACGTCACCTCCATTGAGGACGCTTCAGAATCCTGCTGCCGCCTGCTACATGAACTCAGCGGCCACTGGTTTAGCCTGGAGTGCACTCAAGGCCAATGGTTTGAAGGAGGACCAATGGTCCAACTTCCCTGGGGCATTAGGGGACCTTGCAGATGTGTCCAAAGGGCAGTCCATGCTTTTATGGGCGGATGGGCAGTGGACCACCCTCTTGGCCAACTGGCCCAATCCTTTTCGGCAACATGATGTGGTTGACTTTGCCCACCATCTTCTACAACAAACCAATCCTCTTTTTCTCAGCTGTTGTTGGGAAAGCAGGCTGGAGGACGAAGGTCAATTGAAGGTGGTGGACCACAATGCCCAAGGGTGCCCACTACGACTTTACATCTGCAGCGAGCAAAAAAGCACCCTGCCAATCGATCTACAAGGTCTTGTTTCCAATTGGAGCCTTGCATCCTTCGGGTTACACGCCCTCACTGAACCAGCAGATGTCACATGCTTGCACATTGACCGCTTTGACTCCACGGGGCGGAAGAGTCACACTCGACTGACATGGGATTCTAAGGTGTGGCTGCCATACTTCCTGAACAACAAGCTGGAGGTCGACCACATCCCGTTCCTGGTCCTTGGCGTCTCTTATCACTTGGGATCAGAGGCCTCATCGGGACACTACAACACGGCCATTAAGGACGGCGACTCATGGTGGGTCTACGACGACGACAACATGCCGGTGAAGTTCTCTATGCTCCCACTGGTGGCCCAGGAGAACTGCTGCCTACTTTGGTTGAACTGCACACCACATGGAGGTGCAGAGGAGGTCTCAGCCCTAACTGACGATTCGCCCATCCTGACGGACCAGGAGAAGATCCAGAACATCATCCATGACCCGTCCATCAATGACGAATGGCACAGCAAATGGCTGCATGGGCTGGACCTGATGGATACGGATCTGCTGGTGGACCATCCTCGACTATGCCACCGGCTGGTGAAAAAGTGCATCACATGCGGCAGTTGGCCTCGTGATCTGAACTCACACATGCAGGTGGCGCATCGCTCTTTGTGGGAAGACAGCAGCTCCTTGGCAGAACAATGTGCAGTGAGCTTCCTCTCAAAAGCTCACCCCACCAGATGGTGTGCTTGCCAACCGTTTCACAGCATTGGCATGAATGAGGACCACTGCTGTCCCTGCCTGAGACAATTCGCAATGCTGCACAGGGCATTGCGATCCCATCAACAAATGGAGGCAAAGGCCTCCACTTTGGCGAGACTCCTCGACAAGAACTTCAACTGAAAGTTGAGGAAGGCCCCCCGGGGCCCAGGTGGGACCAAACGGTCCACGCAGTCATCGACCGATGAGCGTATGAAAGAAAAGATGATGATGATGATGATGATGATGATGATGATGATGATGGTTTACAAACTATAGGTTTAGAATTGAAGCTCTAGGTCCAGGTTTAGAGAGCTGCGCCCCCCTACGAAATCGGTCTACAAAAGCTGCACCTGCCACAAAATCTACACTTCATCCACAAAGTACTGCGCCTGCCTTTCCAATCAGCTCATCTCCAGGGTTGCACCCACCCTTCCAAAGCACGTGTATTTGAAAGAACAAGTCACCCGCAAACGACCCCCCCCAGCCCAACGGAGCCTCAGCTTCGCCCCCCTCGGTGACGAAGGCGACGGCAGGATCGTGATCCTGCTGCTCTTAGTGGTGCAGCTGCGATCCTGGCGCAGCTGCGGCTGTGGGGGGCGGTGGCGATCGCAGCGGGACGCGCAAGCTCTGGAGGTGATCGTCTGCGAGGCTACGGCCCAAGTTCTGTAGGTGGAGGATATGGTCGAGTTCTGTACACCCGTGTAGGAGAGTGCAAAGGAGTGTTGAATGTTTTACAAAAACGCTGTATGTCGCTTTTCTACAAAAAGGAAGAACACAAGCACATGGAAGTGAGTCAGTGGTGTTGTCAGGTGGAGTCTTGTTCCCCCCCCCTTGCTGTGACGTGTGTAAAGCAAAGTCGTCTTCCTTTCGGGACCAGCCGCCCGTCGCCACGGACGTCCGGGACGGCGTGACGGGGCGACGTGCCGGAATGAGTCGTTTGGGGATGCGACAGCGACGAGGAACCGAGAGCTGCATTGAAATAGTAAGAACACATGGAAGAACTGTAAGAACAACCATCTACCAACAGAGGTGGGTCAGAACCCTAGTTCTTCTATCCTATGGGTCCCCCAGTAGGGTCCTATAAGGTCCTTCAACCTCTGTTGGTACAACCCCACAAACTGGCAGGGTTGCTGCATAGTGACACTCCCTGGCAGGGTTGCATGGAGGTGGATGGCCCTCCAAGGATCACCATTTTCTGAAGACCAAACAGGCGGTGTTCACTCCACTCGACCATGATTCTTTCAGAGAGTGTTTCAGGAGTGTATACAAACCCTCTGAGAATTGATTGGAAGGGGTGACCAAACATGACCAAACCTATTCGGGTGCTTCGTCTTGTCATCTTGACATTGATTGACAACACACCGGCATTCCGGCACGGCCTCTGAGTGAGCTGTGGAGTGGCACTCGGCGAAGGCCACCTGGCGGGCTGGTGGTGGTTCTGGTGGGCTTCGAAGAAGCACGACAACGTGGAAGGGACCCACCATGACCCACCTGAAAGCCACTGGGGTTTGGTAGAGGAATACCATCTTCCAGGAGGCCATTGCACCCGGGTCCAGGTGAGTTTTTGAGGATCACTACACTCCCTAACAACAATCTACAATGTGTGGCGTCGTGAAGACCACCTGCTTGGTCTTTTCGGAACAGGAATATGGTCATCCAACAAGGCCGAGCCGGCCGTCTTTCCCATCACATCCCCATATTCGTCCATGAGAACGCATGATTCTTCCAGGCAGTTTGTAGAAAACACATCAAAAACAAAGACTGACAAAGACATTAAAAGACGATCTAATCAATACAAAAAACAAACGAGAATTGTTCGTGAGTCATCCCCATTTTCGTATTCCTGGCCCCCTTTTGATACTTTGCATTCGCCTTGCGCGCTGCCCGGCATCGCAGAGACCTGGCAAGGGGGCGACGCGAACAGTGGGTCGTGGCTTCATCCGTGGGGACGGTCATCAGAATCCAAACCAAACAAAAAAAAGGCTAGAATAATTCTACAGAAAAACACATCATGATCAGATCCCCCTTTTTTTTCATTGATGTGGTGGGGTCAGGGCGATGATACGATGGAATCACAACATCGCAACACCCACCATGAGTCCGTTGTCGGCTTTGCTGCAGTCCGGTTCAGTGGTCCACTCTGCCGGCAGGATCTGTCCAAGAATGGTTCTGCTAGGAGCGGTCGGAAGCTCCTGGCCTTACTACTAGGAGCGGTCGGACGCTACTATAGGGGCTGCCAAATGTCACTGACCCATCATTCGCACCTGTAAGAGACTACTTTTTACATAGCTTTTACTCCCCGGCGCAAGCGGATTGATTCCGACTCCCGTGTCCGAAGTCAATACTGGGACTTGACCTTTTGACTTGAACTTGGATGAGAACATCGATACCGGGACAGTTGTATATATCATGTGATATCTATTCCGGATCCTCTTGGCTTCCTGGGTGATGCACGTCTAACATCATCAGTGAGCTTGAAATGTCTGCGAGCGTCAAGAGGCAAACTGTCCGCCTGCTGGAAAGGTCTTTGAATTCACCGATTTCCACGCCCAAAACACCTCTTTCCACACTCCCGTCCCAAGCTGAAATGAAGCTGTCCTGTCCGCTGCAATTGTTCCAATCAGTCTGTACCTAGCCTGGATGCTTTCCCTTGAGGCCACATTTCTGTTTGCCGGTCCATTCTCGAGCAGATCGACCCGGACAGCCCACAGCACCGGAGCATCCCGAAAAAAGGCGTGGATCCGTCGGGAAATCGGTCCGTCCACCTCGACCGGTCGTCGTTTGGGCTTCACGAAGTTGGACGCCACCAGCTTATGGCCCTGGCCGGAATTGCTGTTCGTCACGCGACGAACAGAAGACGGATCGTGATCCACCCTCATCAATCCCAGATCAGGATTCCATACCCTCTGTGAAGCCATTGGAAGTGGGTGACGAAATCTATTTGGGGACCATTGTAGTGGCCATTATAGTGTCTAGAGTCTAGAGCGCAGCTGTGGAACGTACATCAAAACCATTGTCCACCAGAACAAAAAAAAACTGACCATTGACGGCTAGTTGACAACCACTTGAATAATCCAATTAAAGTAGACGATATACTCATCCCAAACACGTAAGGATAAAGCAATGCACACATGCTATGACACATGCTCTGTGGGTATCATATCCCATCACCAGTGATGGCTCGTGAAGGCCTTCCCCAAAATAGTGATATTCTTTTACCGATTGTTACCTGGTATGGGACACATCCCACATGATCTTACAGATCCAGTATAGATGCAACGATCTTTTAAATAGTGGATTGAGAGGACCGATGGCACAGACCCTGTCGGTGGTTTAGGACTGGACCCCCATCTGTTCAGGACATCCTAGGGGTCTGTGCCATCGAACCTCTGAAACCACTGTAATGTGACCATGACCAATCGAAGCGATCGATGCAGCGATTCACGGACGGTGACGCACCGTGTTTCTTCCGAGCCGCACATCGCTTCCTTCCCCAAAAAGGCTCCGGGGGGGGCTTCCAATCAGCAATTCCTTGAACGGGTCGATTCGAATCCCTAAGAACCCTTGTTTTTACCGTGCTTGACGGAGGAGTTCACACTGAATTCAAGCAGGTCCTCTCGAAGCCTTTTCATGGTCCAACGGAAGGCCAACGGGATTCAACTGCTCCAAAAACAATGACCTGCCGCCTTCTGCGAAGCATCGGATCGGCCGGACCCCTTTAGGCCGCCTTCCGCAGAGTCGGACATCGCCCCTTTCGCGGCGCTTTCCTCAACCAACATCGCATCGGACACTGTTGGGTCAATCCACCCCCGATCCCTACAGTTATGATCAGTTGGACCTCCTTTTTGACTGGACTTGGTGACATGAAGTCTTCAGGGCCACAGTGCTCGAACCTCCACGTTGCCAACCGGCGGTGCTGGTGCCCTCCACGTCCCCGACCCTGCCGGTCCCGGTCACCTTCATCCGGCTCTTCCGGATCTCCAGCACCGGCCCAGGAGTCGTGACATAGACCTCGCCCACCTGGCGTCGCTCGGTCACGCTGCCAAACCGAAGCCGAACCCGAGCGCGGAGTCGAGACGCGGGTCGTCTCACGCGAGAGACGCTCGGGTGTCCGGTCTCTGTCTCTCTCTCTCTCTCCCGAGTCGTTGGCAAGCATCGAGAAGGATAGAGATCGGATGATTCAAAAGATCATGAGTGATCATGCGTTACCCGAATGACTCACTAACATGGAAGTGGATGGCATGGTCACTTGGAAGACTACTTTCCTCTACCAACACGGGGTTTTCCACTTCCATGTTAGTGAGTCAGAGTGTATGGGAATTTATTCCGTCAGGCCATGCCATACCCTCAGAATGTCTGGGCGGGTCATCGCACGACACATGAGAGACATAGATGGCCTTTGAACAGTTGTAAACCTTGGTTTGCTGGTTAATAGAGGAGTACCCCCGGTCCTGTATAAACCAAGTTGGGTCAGCACCGAAAGCACCGACCCTCTATTCCAAAACAAGGACCATGATGGTCCGAGATGCAGGTCGCCAAATTAAAACCTAGACTTCCAAGACCATTAAAACACATAGTTGACCTGGTTTTGTAGTGTAAAGTTTTTAGTTGGTTCGGGATTCAGCCTATTAATGGGCCAGGAAGTCTGTCTCCACCAGCACCTTCCAAGGGTCACCAGTGGAAGCCCACACACTACTGAGAGATCTCCATTGGACACCCCTTTGGAAGGTCCAGGCATCCTGTTTTCAATCGTTTTTTCCAGTTCTTCACAATTCTGGCACCGTCCAACAAGCAAGCTAGCGCCCCCGAACTTCTCCCTCGTCCCTTCACCGGGCCGAAGCCCTCCCTCGCCCCTTCACCTCTTTGCTGAGCCCGGAAGTCCAACAACCAGGGCTTCCAATCAGCTTCCCTGAAGGGGCACAGAGTCTGACATCACGCCGACCCCGAAGACGAGTCGTGTGGACCCCCCGAAGGTCCGCGCACACTTCGCGTGCGTGGGGGGTGGTCCAAGATGCCCGGCGTTGGTCGTGTTTTGGGAGTTTGGGGGGGGGCGAAGTCCAAGCAGGAAGACCATTGAGGGGGTCCACCTTGTTGTATATGGGACCACTATGGACCTATGCTTGGTGGAGGAACATGAGGTTGGGGGGTCTTGCATGTCCTCTTCAGTGTTTGTGTTCATTTTTTGCGGAGTCTTTTGTTGAGATGCTATGCAATGGATCGCAACCAACCCTTGCGGATCATGAGGAGGATGCGTTGCTCCTTCGAAGCTTTCTGTGGCTTCACCATTAGTTGAACATCGTCCCAGTTGGTGGTTTTACGTGGGTGACCTATGGGAAACGGATGGAAACGGATCCCAATATAACCAGAACACAGGGGCACGGTTTCTGTGGTGCCGGGAGCATACCAGCCCGGACCATCCCGAGGAGTGCTGCCCACGATGCAAACCATGGTCTTTCGGCGCCTACGATGGAGCAACTCCCTCTACTGCGGCTACACTACTTGTGGATCTCCATTGGACACCCCTTACATAGTGTGGCACATCATGCAGCTTGAGATGTGGATTCGCTAGTCCAGGCTTTTGGACAGCGACAACCGCTGAAAAACATCGAGAACCACGCAGGGTTTGGTTTCCGCTGGTTTGCACTGGTGTGCCAGGTTGAAATGGGGTGGTCTACACGGGTCTACAGTTCTCGAAGACTTCCATCAACAGTTGAAAGATGTCGATTCATTCTCACCAAAAAGCCTTCACCATCGAGGAGCCAAGCTCCCGTGGCCAGACCTGGAGCATGAAACATCCTGTGAGTTCTGCGCTCCAGCGACGCATCCATTCGCACCATCCCATTCGCATCCATTCGCACCACCCAGCCTTTGGGGTTCAGCAGGGCTGTTTCGACTCCATAAGCGATTCGCTCCACGGTTGGTAGCACCGCATGCGGCCCGTGGGGCTGCGCCGGCACATGCGGATGCGGATGCTGCGCATGCCGATGCTGCGGGTGAGGCTCCTCGGGTGCGGCGGGTGTGGGGCAAAACGAACCGAGTTCTGCAGCGGAATGAGTGGTGCAGTGATGTGCAGTGAACTGCTATACTAGAGATTTAGGGAGTCGAAGGACTCTGAAAAAAGAATGGTCTGATCTGACGGGCGGACCTGATTTCGGGGAACTTGCCATTGCTTCACCTAAGGACACGTATTCTCTTTGGATTTCCAGGGCCTAGCGCACATAATATAGCACCGGTCTGTATACACCAACAAGTACCCATATTGAAACTAAAGAAGACAGAAGGGTTGATCCTTAAAGATGTCAACAGGAGCACTTGCTGGATGACCATCCATTTCACTCATTGCAATAGCAACCCGCTTGATCTTCTCACCCAACACCCATCAAACTCTCTCTCAACCAAGTCTCACTTGAAAACAGGACATTTAATCTTGCCCCACCTGCTTAGGTCTGTCTTTGTGTTTGCTGAACCCATCTCATTCTGTCTTTGAAGTCGTCCAGGAACCTTTAAAAAAAACCTTGCCAGGGGATTTACCCATATTACAGGACAAATTGAACAATCACCTGCCTGATCTGCAAAACCACCCGTTGGGTGGAGTGAAGACCACCCGTTTTTGGCGGAAACGGTGCACCACCGCGCTGCCACACGAGATCCCATGAGATCCCATGAGGACCGTGTTTTCGAGGCTCCGATAACACGTGACCGGGCACGGTTTGATGGGAACCATGGATGGCACCATGGGAAACGCCGATTTGGCCCGATTTCCGATGACCAAATCGGAACTCTTCGATGATTTCAAGGAGTGTAACTCTTCGCCCCACCAACACGAGCTTGGAGAGACCGAACCGAAAGAGACCGAACCGTGGCGAACATCGTGCGAAACGCCGAACGCCGAGGCATGAGTAGCTGCGAGTCCTCCGTGGAGTGATGCTTCTCGGACTCGGCGGAGTAGCTCGACAGCTTCGCCACCGAGCTCTGGTAGGACCTGCTTCGGCCAGCGGTCCGACGTCCGAAGCGGGTCTTCTTGCGGCGCGCGCGACGGCGGTGCAGGTCTCGGATTCTTAGGATCCAGCCAGTTTGGTTTTGACCATCCATGGGACTGGCATATTGGCCGATCAGTTGGGGTGGTTTCAGGGGTCAATGTAGGTAAATATGCCAGTCCCATGGATGGTCTGGGGTTTGGTTTTGACCATGAGGTCGTGTTCAGCGTGGTGGTTCTATGTCGATGTGCCACGTATTTGAGCTGCAGCTGCTTGGAAGTGGTACAGCTGTTTTTGATGGAGCCGCCTTTTCTTGGGGTGGAGGTGTGCCCGAAGATGCTGCGCTTGCTCCGTTTTGGCACACTGGGCCTAAAACTGGGTCTAGACCATAGTCTCATTGGGAAGCGCTCGGATCCTTTTGAAGGGCTCGGATGAACCCCAAGGTTCGGATTTGTCCGGAACTCGGACAGCGATTGCCAGTGGTGGGGGGGGGCCAACCAAAACTTAGAAACAACGGTTGATAAAACAAGATCTTTCGGCGGCGAACGACGGTTCGAGCAACGATGGTTCAAGTCTTCACACCTTCCCCTCAAGTGCCCAAAAACTGCTCCTCCAAGAGTTCATCCGGCCGTTCACAAAGCACTGATCAAGGAAGAATTGGAACGGTGGAACGTCCCAAAAACCGAACCCTCAAAGTCCAGTCGACGATTTCATTTGATCTCATGGCCTTTGTTTTTGGTCTGACTAGGTGAATCTATGTAGGTCTTCCCCAAAGTTCGTTCGGCGTTTCGCGAGATAACGCGAGATAGCCCAAGACACATGGTGGACGCTTGGTGCAGCTCTGTCTGGGATGCGTAAGGCGAGAAGCCCACCTGAAGACATGCCAGGCCGGAGGGTCTTTGGGGCCGGTTTGGAGGTCGGGAGGCAGCAAAACATTTCAGGTGTCCTTTTGGATTGACATTTTAATTGAATAACATGAATTCAAATGTCCCATTCTCTTGCCAATTCCAATTTCCCTGAAATTGGGGGGGCATGGATTCTATGATTTCTATGTCTTTGTTGGCCCAAACACTTTCCGACTACTTCCCGCCAGGGCACACTTGAATCTTCCTTTAAGGTGGTCCTGGAGTCATCCTTGCTGAGGAAGGTCGTGGCGGTGGTGTGCGCGCTCAGCAGGCGCTGCTCGGACTTGCCTCAGGCGGGTCAGCCGGTCGCTGCGGCTTCGGGAGAAGCTGCAGTTTTCGATTCCAAAGGCACCGTGGTTCAGCTCCCCAGCCAAACGGCTCCGCCGAAAACCGACAACAAGGGACTTCAAACCACCTCCGTGGCCTCTGTTTTTTTTCGACGGACGGGTTGGTTGCCCCTTTTTTTACACGACCTCGGTCGACCGACTTCTGCTACTCGGATTGGCGCTGCTACCGCGGTCCTGTCGGAAGTTTCAACAGCTTATGATTTCCAAGGTATATATACATATGAAATACTGCGAGATAACTTAGCAACACCGGCGCGGAAACAACTCCCTGTGGCTCGCACACTGTGTCATCTCACACCGGGTGTCATCCGTTTCACCATGGCCTCAGTCTCACCCGGTGCCCTTTTTCGAGTCGCCCGTCGCCGCCCGTCGCGGCAAAAACACCCTCCGGAAAGGCCGAGAGACCATAGGAGCTCAAGTATGGTGCATCCAATGAGCGCAAGGCCTCACACAGCGAGCTCTCTCGAGCTCTCTCGAGCTCCGCGAGCTCTGGGGATGGTGGATGGGGGGGTTTTTGGAGCGATTCGGCGACACCCAGATTGAGAGGGAGTCCTTGGAGGAGTTCAACGATTTGTTGAACGAACACACTTTCCAGCTTGGACCGGTCGTGGAGATGGAGATTTTTATCGGGATACGCATGGATATGCTCTAAACATGTTCCATACATCATGCAACATCTTCAAACTTCTTCAAGCCACCATTGTGTATTAAACAACCATTCGCCTCTCTCCATCGAAACTCAGCAACAAACACTCAACAAAACCATGCAACCCACCAAAACCATCCAAAACCCAGCTGCCGAGGTAGCAAGTCGTGCGCGCCCCCCCCGTCCGTCCGTCCGTCCCCCGTGGCCTGGATCGTGGCAGCGGTCAACGTCACGCTGTTGGGCGCAGCTCGAGCAGTGGCGGGTGCTCGAGCAGTGGCCGCTCCCTTGGAAGGTCAGCAAATCGAATCAAAAGGTCCAAAAGGGCTGGGTCTGTGGAAGCAACTGCAATTACTGCCCCCTTTTTGACCATGCGAAAAGAGAAAGATCTTCTACGCCTACGCGACGTTCCCCAAAGGAGGAGTTTTGACTACGTGACGCTCTCCGAAATGGACCAAAGCCCCTCCATCGCTGAAGTGGAGGCAAATGGACTTGAAACTCCAGAAAAAAAAAAAACACACATATAAATAATATATAAATATATAAATATGTTCTCCTATGATCGATTTATGGTTGTAATTTGTCCCCACTCTTCCGAACCTCCAAGTGGTCCGTCCGCACGGATGCTGGCCGAGATCTCCCGATCATGTCCCCTCCCGAACTCTCGGAAAGATGTCCAGCGAAGATGATCTTTTGCACTGCCTACAATGGTAGCCAGTGACCTGAACTAGGACCCGTCACCAGCAGTACCCAACTAGGATAGTCGAACAGTCGGGTTCTTCAACCCACCTCTGCTGGTGAAAGACATTCAGGACATGAACATTCGGATCACCTGGTCAGACCGTCCTGTTTCTATTGACCCGTCGTCGTCAGAACCTGGACTCTCTCGGACACTCCTCGCACCGGACCCCTCCATCTCTCGCCCAGGCGCTGAGGATGTGCCACCTCCCTCCGCCTTCACCTTCGCGTCCGGGAGTCGTGGCGTGCGCGCCGAGCGGGGCGCCTGGCGAGGGACAGGGACGACAGGGACGACAGAGACGCGGAGCGGGCGCAAAGAGAAAGTCTTCCTAACGTTTTGGTGATTCAAGATCATCCCTAGCCTTCAACAAATCCTTAGTGCCTTAGTAAAACAATTAAAGCAATGGTTGTTTGAATCCTAGGGTGATTCACTCATCCCAAAGGCTCGGAAGGGCTCAGTTCGAGGCTCAGAAAGGCTCGGACCGGGTTTTGACCCTCACAACTGGGGTGGTTTGAGGACCGGGTTGCAACACGTAGCAGTTGGGAAGCTGAAGGGGTCGCCTCTGGGGTAGGGAAAGCAGAAATGATCCGATTCGTAAAACCAGTCCACCAAAACCCATCCGGAGCACCTGTCGGTGTGGCAAGCAGGATGGCCGTGTGTCTGACTCTTAGGGGACCTCATTTCCGGAATTTTCTCTGCTCCACTAAGGAAAAATATAGTCTTTAAATTTCAAGGGTAATTGCAGGGGTCTAAAGTAGGTCAGCAGGTGGCAAAAGTTCTGGATGATTCTTTAGCTTTGTAAATAGTGTGACCCTCCAAAAATAACATCTTACGCCCTGAGAGTCCAACTACATGAATGAGTCTTTACCAAGCAACCATTGTTTTTCTCGGGGTGTTAGAATATATGGTGTGGGTACATGTCCCCTTGAAAAAAATCGTCTGGCATAAAATACGGAATCTATCACATGGCCGTGGACCACAAGGATACCTTGGTTGATCTACCGACGAAACTTGCGCATCAATCCAGATCGCTTCCCACAGCCCTTCATCGTATTGATGGGTACCGGGGAGTTGGTGAAATTCAGAATGTGTATGGGATTGGTACCCATACCTACCAAAAACTGCACAACATCGTACGCAAAACATCTCTAGCTAAGTGAGACCGAATATCCGCGCAACCCCAAGTGGATGCAATGTCGAGACGATGACCCCTGAATTACGTATTTAATTATGCGTCACCGGCGGGGACAAGGAATCAAGATTGCCGCCTTTGTTCCATACCTCCCTTAGCTTCTTACGAAAGTGGTAGCACTGGGAGTAATCTAGATTAACCACGGTATCAGCTACCAAAGTGACATGGCATAACTGCATAGGAACAAGACCCAATGGGTGATATGGCGGTTTGATTCCTAAGTCCTTTGCATACTGCTGTAATGTTTTTTGTGTTGCATCTGAATTACTGAATTGTGGACGCAAAGGGAAACCTCCAGTATAAGTTCGACCCCAACCAACCTGGACCAGACTACTGGCAGCTGTCTTATGAAACTTCGGATACAGCGGTGTATGGCAAAAGCCCTGAAGATACTGAATGATGATGCGAAGTGCATCCGCCTGTTCACGAAGCGATCGCAGTTTGGCCGGGAGTGCCAAAACTTCAGGTGCCTGAAAGTGATGAGGTCGAGCTCTGGATCTATTGGGTGGTTTAATCCAACACGGGAACTGAAGTCCAGTCTGGAGAATAAACGCAATGGCAAGTTCATGCCATGTGATGTCGGATCGCGTGATCGCGTTATGATCACTATCTGGGTCTGGCCATCGCAGGGACAGGAAGAACTTTAGGACCAGTTTTGCATAGTCAGCCCCCCATAGGCATGCAGTGAATACGTGTGGATGTATATCAGGTTGAGAAATGACTACAGGATTCACCACCTGATGATGAGCACGGGCGAGATGAATTGTACCCCAATTCTGATCAGGGTCATCATCTTGATTTTTTGCATCCCTGGATTTTGCCTGCTCTTTACGTTGGACATGGGCTAAATTAAGATCAAGAAGGTATCGCAGCACCTTCCCTGTCTGGTAAATTTGTGACTGATTCCATGCCTCAATTTGGGCAAAAAGTTGGTGATTATCGGGATGATCTGTTTTTCGGGCCTGGACGGCAGCCGTGTCGGCAAAATCATTACCTACAATGTCAATTTCTGCCTGTCGGGTTGTGGCTTGAGATACCACCTGATGCGATTTGACTTTGCGCAAGACAAATTGGCCATGGACCCAGTGAGTCTGAATATTCTGGAGCAAGTCGGCGTGTGCAGTTGTATGTGGAACAAGGGGACTCGAGGCTTGCGTTATGTTGCGGATGGTATTAATGGCATACTGGGAATCCGTTGTAATTACAACTTGATGGGTTACTGCAGCCTGATGACATTCTTGAATTATCCATGCACTGGCTGCTAATTCAGCCCGAGAAATTGTCTGGCGTCCCTGAACATGCTGAACCAAAACGGTACGATAAGGAATCAAATCACTGGCGGGGTCATATTGGACAACGGACCATGCTGCTCGCTGGAATTCGGTTAAAGTAGGGGTTGTCAGCCGACCCATCTGTATAAAGGAAAATGCATTCGGCAGCGGTCTGGATGGTGGTGGGGCAAGCTGTCTGGCCACGTTGGGAAAGTAGGAACCTAAGATGATGAACAGATTCATGTTGAAGTGGAAGTGGAAAATGCAACATATATGGATTGGCCTTAAGGATCTGTACGGCAGCTGGGCGCAACGCCCTGATGGAATCGAAATCAGGGCATTCTAGTTGTCGGTGAGCATGGGTATCCAGTTGGCCGCAGTAGGGGCATTTGCCGTCAGTTGCACTAGACCACTGTGCCTTAACCGCCCCAACCTGATAGCCTCCAGTGATGTCTTTGGCGAGAATTTTAATTTCCGTTGAGGTAGGTCGACCCAAAACTCGTTGGAACAGGCTAGCGTCAAAAGGCAGGTTGGTGACCCCTTTTCGGTGCTGAGTTTGCCGAAAGACTACTTCAGTCCACGCTCGACGTAACCATTTTCGGATATCGCGTGGAGTATCTAGCTTAATCGAGATTTGGATATTACCCGGACATGACAAGAGACCATCTGGGGTTAGCTTCCAGTGAACGCGTTGGAGATAGCAGGCTAATGCCCCGGCCGGCCCGTGGGGGTGGCCAACATGACTGCAAACTGCCAGCAGAAATGATTGGGCTTTATCTGGGTGATGCATGAACAATCGTCGAAGAAACGAAAGGGCAGTACACAGGACATAGAGGAGGGGGTCTTGCAGACGGGTTGACAGGAAGTGCATGGCCATCCAAGAAGATGCCTGCTGTTCCGGACCTACCAAAGCCGTCGTTGCCGCACGGCGTAGCTCTTTAAAATGGGCTTCTCCAACAAGTTGGGACTCTGCTCCGAAGAATGCGTGTGGCCATATGGCATTTTGAATGCGGTCCGCCTTTTGGGTTAGGTCTGTAGCAATGTATGTAAGACGTTTACACCTGGTCGCGGCGCTTAAAAATTTTTCTTTAAGATGACCCAAAACAACCTGCTTGGTGTAGTGACACATACACCCGAGATCTTTTGCTGAATTGAGTATCCGAACATCGTGATGATCTCCCATTGTTTCATTCAAAGTTACTTGCCATTGATCCCTGGCTACCTTGGTTGTCCCCCAAGCCCATGATTTTTGGTAATCGATTTGTAATCGGAGCTCAGTTGCCAACTGACGAATACAGTCGAATGCCTGGTAATTTTCTCTTTGAGAACAAGTCAGATATGACCAATTATCAGCATAACAGAATGGATCAAGTGTTGGACTCTGAATGAGCCAATAAAAGGCAGACGACAAAACAAGCATGCTACAAACAGACATGCTATCCCCTTCAGGGACTCCAGTCGTCATGGTTAATGGTTCACCAATAGCTAAACGAACTTGAAGACGGCGCGTCATCTTTGTCAGATTCAGAAACCAAAAGTGGATAGCATCAGGAGGAGCTCCATGATAAACCAGCAAATGGTAGATGACACGGCGAGGTAACAAATTAAATGCTTTGACCAAGTCAAGTGTGAAACCCATCCAGGCCTGATTACTTTTCTTACAAGTTTCTAGTTGAAACTGTTGCATGAAAGAGATATCTTTGACTCCTCTATGCGGTAAACCACCTGCAATGGCTACTGGCCAAAGTTGACCCCAATATCTGAGCAACTGATCTGCGATGATCTTGGACGTCAGTCGAGATATGTAGCCTAAAATCGTTATGGGACGCCCATCGCCTATTGCCTCTGGTGGATTTCGTTTTTGCCAATAAAACAACACGAGCTATCATATGGTCTTTATGCAAACCCTGATGCCAGATCTGGGAAAAGATGTGGGCCAATGATGCAACTGCACTTGGTGGTAAAAGTCGAAGCTCCTCAGCACGCCAACCATCAATGCCTGGTGCCTTATATGGTCGGAGCCTGGAAATAGTTTGCTGGACAACATCAGGTCGATGCCAGGTTATTGGGAGAGGTTCGGCCGCAGGGATTCTTTGAGTTAAGCGATCGATTGTATCTTGCCATGTTACGTCACTATGTTCTTCTTCTTCTGTATCCCTATTCCAGTATTGACTCCAATATTCTCGGAAGGGTCCTGTCATATCGGATGCCCGATAGACGAAAGTATCCTGACGAAGCAGGGCTTGGGTCGGACAGACTCCAGACACTAGAGATGCTCGAAGATGGCATGCATTCTGTTCCAACAAGATTAAGTCCGCTGCGCCAAAGGATAGTTTTGCATATAGTTGAAACTTGACCGGGTAGTGAATTTGGATATGAACCTCTCCTTTAGGACTCCGACGTAGAGTGGCCAAGCATTCATGTGTGACAGGAAATCCAGGCAAGATCTTATGATCTTCGGCCTTAAGAGTTCTATAGAACTTGGCTCCTGATTTATGTGTCTGGTCAAGCTTTACGGCATGTTTATTGGATGCTACACGAAATCGATGCTCTTGACGACAGTATAAGTCGGAGTCATATTTAGTTATTTGGAGCATGTTATCCAGGTCCTCCAAGATTATGGAATTGGGGTGGACCATACTTATGACATCGAATTGCAAAATCCATCTTTCCCACGAACGCCCGTACCCAGGGGCAAGGCGAATGGACTGCCACAATGGTAGGAGATCGGATGGATGACTCGACATATCAACATATGACTCCTGCCATACAGACTTCTGATCTAAGCAAGCCTTTTGATT